TACCTGGGCTAACCCCCCCCAGTGTAGATGTCATTTCCAAATGGATAGAAGTCTCCCGACATCATTTATTGAAAAATGTCTACTCGAGTTTCAAGAGCTGTCATTCCTTTCTATTTGCGAGAGTGTTCTGATTTATTATTACTATCAAGGATCTTACATATGTGCTAATGAAACCAGATGGAAACCTTGAAATTGTTGACTGAGAAACATTTTCTAATTTGGCTGGTTTACTCATGAGCATGGAAAATAGCTGACACTTGTAGAGCAGGTCCTCAAAACTAGTTATTACTTTTTTTTCCCTTAGATTATCTCATTTAGGCCCAAATCAGAACCTTCATGAGATTGGTACCATTGTTGTCCCCATTGTACAGGCAAGGAAAATGAGACAAAGAGTAGATAAGCATGCTGCCTAACTTTGTCAGAAAAAGCCAGCCTCCAGCAACTGAAGGGCCAGTAGGCGCAATTATCCAGCGATAATGCATGAAGATGATGGCAAAGTCATAGATGTTAGGAAAGATAGGCGAAAGAAGAAACTAAAGGAGTCAGACACATTTTATGGACACTTGCTCACCTCAGCCCCTCTTGATGGTTCACCTGGGACTGGGAGAAGAAAGCGAGCCGTTACTTACTTGGGACATTTTTAGGTAGCCATAAGATATGCAGATTCAGTAGTTACATGCATCACACGGTGGGTATCCACAGTAAGGTTCCTGAGCTCACAGGTGAGGAAACCTAATACCTGCAGTGGGGGGAGGTATGGGTGGGTTGGGTGACATGGCGTGAAGAGAGAAAAGGATGTCTGCTTCTATAGGGAGATATAAGCAATCATGTGCTCACTTTAGAGCAGCGTAACTGTTAAGGGGAGAATCTGTAGGAATGATTTTTAAAGCAGGCTAAAGTACTTGGACATTACCTCTGACTTACCAGAGTGGAGGCTTTCCTACCATGGAAGACCAGCTTTCCAGATGCCCTGTTAAAAGTTAGGGAATATAGTCCTCGCCATATTGCCTTCAGCGTTCGTTTCCCACAGAGCATTCCACGGCTGGTAAGTATGTCAGCCGTGGTTTGAGCCCATATGCTTACCTGTGATGCTGTCCTGCCTTACATAAGTTAATATACAGAATTTCAGGCTTCTTAAGTCACAGATGACAGTTGACTCAACAGCAAACCGAAAACATACTGGAAAAGGCCCCCGATTGTATTGACCTATTCCAGATACGCAGATGACATGAGATAAATTGAAGGTCAGCTACGCTTGCGGAACACTGTTTCTACTATTTCTGAGCATCATTGGATCTCAGAAAGGGAGGGATACCCCTTTCTGGCAACTCATTGAAATGACTGTATGTGAAAACACTTCCATAAATGATCGATGGGAAATTTGATCATTGGAACAGCGTTTTTAGAAGATAGCTATGATTGTTCTCAAGCTGGAATGAGTCAGAACTAGACTGGTGCTTTTCACAATTTTTCTCAAACCAGTTATCACCAAACGTACCTGCTCTTTGCCATTATTTTCCTTTCTCCTGCCAGTTTTC